TAGGTGTGAATTCTAATTCTGAAGCCAGAATTACTAAAACAGAGAAGAATAGAATTGTAAACCTGCTTTTTAAGATTTTCCTCTCTTTTATCTCTGGGCACAGCTCTCTGCTTTACCAGCACCCCCAGTAGTTGGAGTTTCCTTTCAGCATTCAGCATAGTGTAACTGGCCAGTGGTTCTGCAACCTGGATTGCGTTGTTTGTGTAGGAAAGCTCTGAATCTTGTCTTTTTTAACATTAACAGCTAACAAAGATAACCTGCCTGAATTAACAGCAACTCAGAAAAACAAGCTGAAACACTTGACAATAGTAAGCCTGGCTTCTAGAATGAAGGTAAAGTACACTGTGAATGACAACAGACTTTTGTTTGTTTGTTGGAAATTGAATCAGTTCTTTGCATTTGGGTTATATTAAACTGAGTGCTCACAAAAGTGCTGCAACTTGGAAAGAAGCTGTAATGTGTGATGTTCCCATGGTGCATTTGGGACATTAACTTAATGGACTTTTGGAGATGAGGTATGGAAGTGTCAGAACAGCCATACCATTTGATTAGTAAGGGCTGGGAAACTTTGTACGGCTTCTTTCACTGCTGGAGGTGAAGAATCATCCTTAAAAGGACAACCTCTTTGTTCTGGAGGAAACTAATCGACATTCTTAATTTCTTCTCCAGTCCCATTACCTTTTTCCTCCAGAAGGCACTATGCCAAAACTTCAGGAACTACCCAAGCCGTGCTGGAATATTAAATAGCATAGTAGCAGACATTTGTTTTGTCCCTGTTGTACTTTCAGACTGAAGTGTAGGTTGCCATAAATGTCTGGGCCTTGACCTTCTGCCAACACTATTTCTGTTCATTCTGGTTAGGACTGCTAACTTAGTCTTGGACTTGCTGATTTCAGTGCATTCCCTACTCCGTGTTGCTGAAGGACCTGGATATGAGGAATCTGAGGGAGCTGGAAGATCTGATTATAGAAGCGGTTTATACTGATATTATCCAGGGGAAGCTGGATCAACGAAACCAGATGTTAGAGGTGGATTTTTGTATCGGAAGAGATATTCAGAAGAAGGACATCAGTAACATTGTCAAAACACTCCAGGAATGGTGAGGCATTCTCTCCAACTCGATTGTTTCTTGTGCATAGTTTGCCCTATTTTTTTCTCTTTCCTTGAAAATTCTAAGTGCTGGCTTAATTGAAACTTGTTCCAGCAATCATGAGTCTTATGCGGCAAGCAGACACTTAAAAGAAGAGTCTGTTGAGTGATTTTTTCCATGATCCCATCTATATTTCAATTTCTGTTATGTATCAAGCCAAACTATAGTAGGTCTTGAGATTCTGATTTCACCAAAACTTCTACATGACAGAGCCCTAGGGAGGAGTCAAGGGCTTTTTCAAACAGTTTGTGCCAAACTGTGGTCACTGACTTAGGGTCTGTACCACTCCCTGTCCTGCTATTACACTCAATAACAAAAGCAGAACTATTAGTTTTCAGCCATTTGTGATGAGATCTTTATGGGGTAATTCCAGAGAATCACACTTCTTAGGACAGATGTCTCTTCAAGTCTGAAGTGTTACATGTTTGCCTTTTCTTTGCTCCTGCAAATGCAGGCTGCATGCAACCACAGTGTTTGGGGCTGTGGTCCTGTCTTTGTATACCTGAGTGAGAATCTGCTTCTCACTTTTTGTCAGATTCTCATCCAACAAAATCTCCCTGTAGTCAGTGGAGGCTGTGGCAAGTTCTGAGCTGGCTGGACATCACTGCCTGGTTTTTGTTACAGTAATGGGTGTGTAGAAAGTGATTAAACTGCTGTGGTAGAAGCAGGGTTTTTCCCTTTTCTGCCCCAATCCCATCTCAGCAGGAGAGCTCTGGCAGCCTTCAGGAACTTAAAGCATCATTTGGAAGTTAACAGTGAACCCATTGCCAGTTTCTTTTCTGTCTTCTCCAATTATAAGCTCTGTGTTGGAGGAACACTTTTGAACACTTGGTGTGCAAGGGAATTCTCTCAATCTGACTCCTGTGTTTAGTTTAAAATTTCATTCTTTTACATCCTATTTTAAGCAGTAATTCTGATTGAAAAGGTAACTGATGGTGCAATAAACCTGCACTTTGTGATGGACAGGTAAGAGTAACACAGATTAGCTAAAAAATGCTGTGAAATGCACCAAGTAATCAATAAAGCTTTTTCTTGCCAACTTTTTTGGAATTGGTCTTATAGCAGGACATATGAATTTAATAATCTTTTGATAATCTCACTCGAGCATAACTTTTCAGATTGCACGAGTGAGCTGCTCCAGAGAGCAGCTCCTAAATACTCTTGGATATTTGTTATGTCTTGCAGGTGTGATGGTTGTGAAGCGGTTCTTTTAGGGATTGAGCAGCAAGTACTGAGAGCCAACCAATACAAAGAGAACCATCACCGAACCCAGCAGCAGGTAGAGATGGAGGTGGGTGCAAATTTATTTCAGACTGCTCAATGCTTTTTGATTGAATGCTACTGTCAACTGGATAGTCTGGTAACACCTGGTTAATGGTTACAGCTCCTCTGATGTACTCTAGCAATTGTGCAAATCAGATGTACTGTTCTGGAGTAGGAAAAATAGAAATCTTTTTCCTTGTGCTAATAACACCACAAAGACCTACATCAAATTTGCCCACTCTAAGTGGGTTGGAACTTTTCTGTATAAAAACAGGCCAGGTGGGTGCAGTGCTTGTAGTTCCCTGTAGGCTGATTGATTAGGGAAAGAGCCCTTGTGATACAGAGCTTGTATATAGTTCTGTTTCTTTTGTGTAAGGAAGTAAAACCTCACTTTTCTTCTCAATCTGAGAATGTAGGGCAAAACAAACAAAAACTAAAAATCCCTCGGGGTTCATTGCTTTTGCTTACAAGGGCTCTTGAGCAGTGTGAGCTGGGCATGCTCCCACTGTAGGCTGTATCTCTTCTTAGTCCATAGATGGCAGCACGAGCACACAATGTCAGCCCCAGCTGATGTGTATTTACTAGTGAGAACAAATCTTGGCTAATACAGCTGTAAAGGTGAAAATGGTCCTCCCGAGACACTTGCTGAGGGTTTATTTCTTGCAGAGTGCTGCATCCCTGCAGGTTTACATTTGCTTTCCGAAGCAGTTCATGCTTGGCGGCTTGATTGGCATCCGTAGTGCCTTTTGTTTGCCAGATGCCTTTAGCCTGGAGTTGGTGCACCTAACTCCCAAACTTGTTTTGGCCTTTTTTTTCTCTTTTTTTTTTCTTTTCTGTTTTTAGTGTTTGCTGATTGTATTACTGGTGAGTCCTACAGAGTTTCATGAGGCAAGGTACGGTGCCTGGTGCTTTGTCTCTCCTTTTCAGCCAGTGCAGTGGGTGCACTACTCCTCCCTCCCACGGACCAGTTCCTGTTCTGCTTCTAGCAAATATCCGTGGCTCAGCCAGATAGATCAAGTGGCATTTTTCCTTTTTGTTTTTGAGTGCTGTTGGAAGCATGCATTTGTTTCTCTCTGACTCCTTTGTTGCTGCTGCTTCTGGCCAATCTAATGGTAAGATGGCTGACTTCTGCACCAAGGCAGTAGTAGCTCCCTTTGGCCAACCAGGAAGATGGAATAATACTGTACTTTTGTCTCTTAGAATAAGTAGGTAATCTCTAGTTGTTTCCAGTCTGAGTCCAGTATGGATTATAAGAATGCTGGCTTTAAGTGAGCACAAAATGTTGCCCCTTAAAATTCAAATGCAGAGTCTGTTTCTGGTGGGAGAATTTTTGATAGCCCTCCCTGTGTACTCCAAGGGATTTTCAGCATGTTTATGAACAGAGTTTCTAATGCAAAGAGAAAAGGAAGCAGGTGCTGACTCACTGTCTCTTCTTGGCCAGGTCACAAACATAAAGAAAACATTAAAAGCTACAGCCTCGTCGTCGGCACAGGAGATGGAACAGCAGCTGGTAGAGCGAGAGTGCCCTCCACACACAGAACAAAGGCAGCCCACAAAGAAGATGTCCAAAGTTAAAGGGCTGGTCTCCAGCCGTCACTAGAACATACCATCCAAATGTCATTCAGCTAGGAATGACAGCAGGAGGAGCAAAAAAGGGCCTGTGTCTCCTTTTCCAGTGGGTTCTGGGCAAGCCCCTTCCAGGCTGGCAAATAAAAGCCCTGTTTGAATGCAGCACCTGGCAGAGTTAAACTGTGCAGCCCCTATTTGTTATGAGGGTGTCTCTGTTCTGGTCCTTTAAAGAGGGACTTTTGAAGAGAGGGACTAGCACAATGGGGCAGTAAAAAAAATCTGTGGACAGTTTTGCTCCCTCTCAGCCAGTTTCATTGCTGCTTAACTTTTAGGAAGCTGCTGTACTAAATCAGATCTTGGGAGAACTTCTATATTAAGAGTGAATCCCAGGGTTGAAGTGTGGCTACCAAAGCCAGGCTGGGAGCGAGGAAGCCATCAACACAGATCTTTTCATTCCCAGAGGGAGTGCAGAAAGATTTCTAGGCCAGGAACTGCTTTGCATGGAAGTCTTCAGCCTTTCCACTACCCCTGTCTGTTTTGAACTGGGGTGAAATTCATGCTACCTCGCTCTGTGAGGATGAGATTCAGTGCTGGGCTGTTTACTTAACTGTCTGTTTACTGCCCTTACTAAGCCCTTCAATCTCTCGCAGATTTAATGCACTGGTCTGCATCTCTGAGGTTTCAATACAGAAAGGAGGAAGCAGGCTGCTCTTCCAAGCCTTCCTTCTTACAAATGGTTAGGGACACAGCAGAAACAGTGTTCCTTTGGAATGTGATGTCACCTCTCAGAGCTGCTTGTGAGTTGTTCCCCCATTGATACCTCCAGAGGGTAATGCATTTGTTCTTCCTTGGGTGCTAGTGACAGTGGTCTGTGTGGGAGAAGAGCCCCTTTAGCATTGTGGCAGGCTGGTGGCCCAGGACCCACTGGCAAGGGTCACAGCAGTATCCCCTTGCTGAACCAATGGACTTGACTAGTCTTTCTGAATTTTGAACACTTTCAGGTTGTATTTTCTTCTTCTTTTTTCCTTTTTTTTTTTTTTTTTTTTGTACATTGTTGTGATTCTGAAGCATTTCAGCCTTTGATTTGTGTTTTTTTTAATTTGTTACAGACTAACTTCAGGTGGTTTGCGCCTGATTTGGTGAGGAATGGGTTTTTTTTTAAGGGGGAGGATGGGGTTGGCAGTGAAACAGCAATTCACAAAAAAAAAAAAAGCACATTTTAGAAAAAAAATTAAAAATGCTGATTTAATGTCAGAGTTCAGAGTCTTGGCTTTGAGACTGCTTTAGCACTTGTTCACATGAGCATTTACTTGATTCCTGATGTTACGTTATCAGAAGGTCTGACTAACCTCCCTGACGCATCTGGGAAACAGAGAATTACTGTTCCTTTTTTGTCAGTACTTCATCTTTATCCAAGTTTGCATGGAAGGATCTGTGGCAAAGACAGTAACTGAACCCACAGTCCTGAGCCTAAACACCGTTGCTGCCTGATAATGGGAGGTTTGAAGTTTTGCTCCATTTTTGGCAGTTGGATGCCTTTCTCTTGGTCTCACAAACTGAAGTGTTTTACTTCTGTCAGTGTTGTTAAAAAAAAAAAAAAAGGGGGTTTCCAGGAGCAGGAAGGGGGGCTGCTCTAGCAGAGGACAGTCACAGTACTCTACTCCTGCATTTACTTTGTGCAGTGCACTTGCCTTCAACTAAATGCTGTAGAGTTCTTTGCCATCTTCACATCCTCAGTCCTTCATTTCAGGACCTGCTGTGTGTTTGCAAAAGGAAATTCTCTCCTTTTCTTTTCTCCTGCAGTGCAGGCACACCAGCTTTCAGTCTAAGAGGTGGATCTAAATGCTTCCCACCCAGCTGCCTCTGGGTTGAGTCCCTTGGTTTCTGATTCATTGTCAGCTCTCTCCCTTGAAAATTCTAGCCAAAAAAATTCCCATTGAAAGATGTTAAATGTTAAGTGAGTAAGCCCAAAGCATGAAGCCTTCGCTTATATCTCAAGGGAACCCTTGCAGTGGCTGTTCTGGTTTCTGTACTAGCATCTCCTGGTGTTTAGCTGACAGCTTCGGGAGGTGTAGGTGGACTTTGTGTACCCAAGTCTTTTCGATGTGTGTGATGAAGAGGGGCTGAGTCTGCTTCTGGCTTCCCGTGTGGGTGGCTGCAGTGTACTGGTCATCCAGCTCCTTGCAAGGTTTGGCTGGTGAGAGGTTGTGTGGTCCTCAGTAAGCTGTTTTCTTTCCCTCCCATTTCTAATAGCAGTCCTGCAAAGATGCAAGGGGAATTCAAATGTCTTTGGAAATCAGTTTAGCTCCTCAGCAAGCCTTAGTGCAGGGGAAATAGATGTGAATTTGACATCCCTGATGTTTGTTCCCTGCCAGTTACTGGAACCACATTAGTTTGCTGAAAATTCTTTAGTGTGGTGGAAGCTCTTGAGTCCATTCTTACATTTTTGCTGTTCTCAAAGATTACTTGGACTAAGGGTCCTATCTGTGCTTCAGTACGTGTTGCCTTTGATCAGCAAAGAAGGGAGGAAATAGCACTTTGAATAGAGCAGTCCTGTGTTTGATGGTGAGAGGATGGAGGGGGGAGGGACATTGGGAAGAATTGAGCTGTTTGCGTGTTTGGCTCGTCCTGGTGTGCCAGTGATGCACTTGGTGCAGCAAAAAGAGAGGGGTGTCTTTGCAGTGAGCCCAGCCTGAGATGAGTCATTAACAAATGACATGCACAGAGTACCTGGGGGAGGCAGACAGCTCTGCAGCAGCTGGTTAATGAGTCTGGCTCAAATGAAAGAGTTAGAAACTATTCCAGGAATGAAGCAGAAGGCATAGTTGTTAACAGGGAAGGATGCAGGAGGTGCTGGGCTTTTTGAGAAGGGCAACACAAAGATGGTGACTGCAGGGAGGGCAGCAACTTGGAGCAGATTGGTCTGAATTACACAGGGACTGAACTGTGGACAGTTTGGAGTTGGGAATGTGTGGAGAGAATAACTGTGCTCTGAGGACAGGAGGCAGATGGAAGTAGAGGTGGTTTTGATGCAGTTCCTGGTGCACTGTGTGTGCCTGTTGGAGGCAGCTAACACAGCTAGTGTGGGCGCTGCTGGACATTACTCCCTGATGTGGGGAGAGCATCCTGACCTACTTTGTTTTATGGCAGCCATGGGCTCCTCCAGCTGCAGCTTGCTTCAAGATTGCAGCAGGACAGAGTTTGAGCTATTGAACTTCTGTTTGCCTCCTCCACCCGGAGAGAGACAAGTAGACAGAGCTGCTCTTAAAGGCTTTATTGTCTAGCTTCATGTTCTGCAGCTCTGCTTGTACTAGTGCTTGTTTAATATGGAACTGAGCACTGAGCTGGAAAATGGAAGAGAGGATCTCAGCTGATTGCAGTGCTGGTAGACTGCCCTAGCCCTAAAGCTGTGCCTCGTGCTAACAAATGTCCCTGCTGTTCCTGCTGTGGCTCAGTTGATAGCAGCTAACATCAGGCAATTCTGGAACATGATAAAGCAATGCTGATAGCAGTCTTTTTTTTTTTCTTCCTTCTTTTCCCTTAAAACAAAGTTTGGGTTGAGCATCTACTGTTCTTTTGCCTTCCTCCCACCTCATTAGATGAGTTGGATGCTAGTTTAAGTCTTCTGTTGAGAAGAGGAGGTTAAATTGGTAATGCTGTCAGACCTTCGTATGTTCTGATTTGAGACACATCCTGCACTCAGTCTTAGAGCGCTGTCTAAGCTGTTTAGAGAGACCTCTGATTTAAAAATAAATAATAAAGCCCACCTCCTGCTGGGATAAAACAGGCAGAGTTTGTGCACTTGTAGGTTTGTTGGTGCTAAGCCTGTTAAAAGATTTGCCATGGAGGGAAACATTTATTTTTATTATTATCAAGGTGAGGAAATGGACCCAGCCAGTCAGGCCTTCGTCTACTCCTGCACTGAATTTTCTGTTGTTTTTTTCCTTCACAAAGTCCTTGGTAGCATCTGATCTAATGCATAGGAGCCAAAAAGTGAAATTGTCAAGTTTATTTTTGTGTTATCTGAAGGAGAGTAACCCAGGGGCATCGTGAAAGGTAAATTAAAGTTGAGAGTGATCTCAGTTCCTACTTGTAACCTCAACCTTGTGTGTTTGTTATGGAATTAAAACCTGTCAGTCTGATTGAATTTCTCAGCAGAGATTTTAGAAATATGTCATTGTTTCGCTCTGCTCTGTGGCAATGGCCAATGTCTCTCAGGGACTGTTGACATTTTGCTGATATTTCTTCAAGTTTGGCCCTACCACAGAGGTAAGTGATTGAAGCCAGCGAGAGGTGTGCTATAAGGAGAGTGCCTATTGACCCCCCTTAGCTGATTGCCTGCAGCCTGCTTCTTAGTGGCACTTTGGGGGCACCCCTGTTCCCAGATAGTGGACCAGGCAGAGGACTTGGCAGAGCAGTGCTGTGCTCCCTGTCTCCGAATACACAGGCTTCTTTTTTCTGTAGACCTCACAAGGTGCCCTGATGTATTTGCTACAGGTTGCAGACTGTGAGAGTGTGATAGCTGGGACCGTGGCTTTTTCTTGTCAATTTGTGCCTGTAGTCCTCATTTGATGTGGTTTTAGTGAAAGGTGAGGCACCTCTCCGCGGCTCCAGCTCTCCTATGGAAGCTTGTAAATCTCAGTATCATGCAGGCATTTTTCAAATGTACCCATGGCACCTCTGTATTTTCAGAAGAGCTCATTCAGAAGAGCAACTCAGAAGAGTTGCTGACTGGGTAAGTGAAGCCTTGCTCTGTCAGAGATTGGTCTTTTTGTGCTACTCTGACCGTAGGTCCGTATCTTCATGGGTATGAAGTTTGGAAGTAGTGCTGTTTGACTCTCCAGACTCTTCCTGAAGATGCTGTTTATCTCACCAGCCCTGGTGTCTCATATGCTGCATAATCCTAATGCTGCCTTGTGCTGATGCAGTGACGTCTTGGTGTTTCATTGTCACCTTCGCAGCTGTTAGAGAGCACTGGTTCCTACAGGACCACCTGCCAGCCTGTGATGCTGTTCATTTTACATCACCGTCATGAGATGACACCTCCTTGCTGGCAGACGAGCCAGGTGGGTAGGCATTGCTCCTCTGAGCTGTTTTGCATTTAAGAAAGGGAAGTCTGTTGCCTGATTTAGTACAGTGAAAATCAAGGACATAGGACAGATTTATGAAGAAAGGGCAAAGCATGAAGCTGTGCCCCATTCCAACTCTGCTACAGCAGAAAGCAACCCTGGGCAAATCAGCCCCTCAGCAGCTGAGTTTCCCTGGACAGCTTCTCTCGTGTGTGCTGGCTTTGAGACAGAAGTTTGTGAAGTGTTTTGGTCTCCTGGCTGGGCACAGCTTAATTGCTGATTTAATTGAAGAAGATACAATGCGTGCGTATGGAAGGAGGGGACCTCAGAGCTTCTTAAGCTTTTCTAGAAGTCGTCTTCCACTTGTGTATTGTACTTTCTTTTCCCTGATGCAAATAAGGTGCTCCACTGTGGGAATATTGGCCTGGAGTATTATGGGTAGTATGCCAGGTTAATTATGAAGGGGGCAGGAAAAATAGCCTGTGCCGTTTTCAACAATATCAAAGGGATGCTACCTAATGATTTTCCTATTAGCTCTTTTCCCAGCCTGCCAGAGTCACTGCAGAAATGTCATTTACAAAGGCAGTTTGCAACTCATTACCCTGGATTTTCACTGTAGTTCTGCTCCAGAGAGCGTGGGCTTTTGCTGTGTGCCCCAACCTAATGAATTGCCTGATTCAGTTAGCACTGCCATCCTTTCTGACAAGGTTAGTTGCTGACTGACAGGAAGGGGCCTGGATTCAATTCCCTTTTTGTTTTCAACTCATGCTTGTGTCAAGTGCAGGCTCCCTCTGGAAGCTGCCCTGTGATCCTTTTCCTTCGTTTTTCTGCATTCTGAAGGAAGCAGCCCATACTCAGAGAAGCCCTTGAGCAAATGGGGGCTGGGGGGTGCGTCTGCCCTCAGCAGTCCCTACTCAATGCTTCAAGTCCCATGTCAGGTGGAAAATTCCACCGCTCCCCTGCTCTGTGGCTCTGGGCTTTTCTTTCTCATCATTGGTTTGGGACTTGCTGTCACCTGAGCTGGGCTTTGTGACCCTTCAGCAATAAATACCTTGGAAAAGCTGTGTTAAGGGAAGAAACGTGCATTGTGACCTAGGAGAATAGAACAGATTTGCCATGTGGGAGGGCAACTGTGCCCTTATTTCTGGGAGGTCCTTCTCTAAGGTCTGCCCTGAGCTCTTAGGCCTATGCAGGGCATCTGTAGTACAACTCTAGAAAGAACTGCTGTCCTGATCTACCAGCCAGCCATGTGCTTTTCCATGCTGTGGGTCTGTGGCTCCTGTCATGCTAGGAGTAGCTCCTGAAAAGGAGAAATCAAGGCTGTTCCTCTGTTTTGTTTCACAGTGCTCCCACCTGAAAGCCAGACAGGGCTGCTACTCATTCTGCTGCTGGAGCTGGAGGTGTGCTGGTCCAGTGTGCCCTCAGTGTGGACAGGAGCCTGGGACTCCAGCCTCCCTCATTTCCAGGCATGCAGACACGTGTCCACCTCTGCTAAATGCCACTCTCTGAGCTCACTTTTCAGAAGTGGCTGCCACCCCCCTGAGGCTGCAGCTTGCATCCAGAGCAGCTCTTGGTGTTCAGTCATGCTGTGTGTGTGCTGAGATGTGGTGAGGAAATTTTTCAGTGCTGGCTGTGGATCCTTTTGATGGATGTCATGAGGATTTGACCTGGTTGGACCGCACGAGGGGCAACAAAGTCAGATCCATTTGTTTCTGCTGCACATGATACCTTTTTCCCTCTTAATTGGATTCCTGCATCTGCTCTTTCCTCCTGGCCTCATTTCCTACCGAGCCCCTGTCAGGAGGACCTAATTGTGGCCTTATCAGATGCTCACTATGCTCTAAGGAGCCGTTTCCCATTCTGGCCGGTCTGCCAAACCAGGGAGGTGCTCTGAATGCTGACCTTGGCTCACCATGCTGCTCTGCCCTGCTGATCCTCCTTCCTGGCTGTGCACCGTGGTGCTGAGTTGACCTGAAGGTTTTCCCAAGTGCTCTTTCAGCCCCGAGTGCTGTCTTCCTTCTGCATCAGCTGGCATCTCCACGTGGGCACGGTGTTCTGTCCTGCAGGTTGGAAGACATTGTGCTGAGGGACAGGGCAACTCCTCTTTGGTCAGAAAGGAAGCAGCAAAGCAGGGAGCCAAGTTGTTATCCCCTCCCTTGGCATGGGGAGCTCTCACTGTTGGCTGTGCTCCTGACAAACTGGTATCCTTCTGTCCTCCTCCTTGGGCTTGTTCTTTCCCAGGGAGCCCCGGGGACAGAAAGGACCAGTGCTCTGAGGCTGTGTGTTTCCCCTTGGACTGCACTCTGCAGAGGAGAAACGTGAATCCAGAGCGTGGGCAGCCCTGGGCTGTGATATCTGGGGTTGCCCCCAGCCTGAGCTCAAACAATGTGCTCTGCTCAGGTCATCAAGGTTTGCAGAGAGAGGTGAGCCAGTTCACTCTGTTGGACAGAGGCTCTCAGACCTCTGGCAGATGGTTCCATCCTAGCTCTGGGCCTCTTCATCTCAGCCTGGTGCTCTTAGCATTGTGCTGAAGGACCAGGAGCCAGCAGGCAGCCAGCAGGACTGTCTCCTTACACTGCTGCTAGACCTGGTGCGTGTGATCTGACTTACAGATGACTCCTTGCTCTCTATCCCTTAGACTTGCTGGGTGACAGGCAGTCCCTTCTGATGGTCATCACTTCAGGAGCGCCTGGCACAGCCCCTTCTGTCCCGTGAAGAGCTGGTAGAATGTGCTTCATGGGCACATTGTTTGCTTTACAGGGCCCTGAGGGCCGGTTGTCATCACATGAGGACATCTCTGGCAGGCTGAGCTGAGGGTGGGCATGGAGCTGCCTCCCTCCCTCCCAGGATGCGTGTTTTGTTCCCTGTAGGCAATGTCTTATGTGGTCCATGATCTGCTGCTGCTGCAGGGCTGTGGGCACTGTGAGCTGGATACCAGCCTCTGAGTGGGGAGCTTTGTATGAGGCTGGAAATGCTGCATGTGCACTTCTAATGTGATGGTTGAGCTGTCGGGGGGGTCAGGATGAATCCTGCTCTGCAAACTCACGTTACCTAATAGCTGGGGAGAGCATGACTGGATGTTTCTATGATTTCCTGATGGTTGCTAAGGGGAAGGATCTCTTTGCCTTTAGGTCTCTGTGACTCTTTGCCCTGCCCTATGTGCCAGAGCACAATGGCACGCAGCACCCACTGCAGTGGGGAGGGCACAGTGGGTGCCTCCCATCACAGCTGGGCTGGGCACCTGCTGCTCTTTCCTTGGGCCTCTGAAGAATGAGACCAAAAAGCCTTCATGCAGGAGTTTGCCACCTTGATGTGCTGCCCACCCCCTTGCTGGCTGTGCCCTTCAGAGCACAGAGATGTTTTAATGATTTGTTTCATGCACTTTACATAGCAAGAAGCTGAATCCTTACCAGGCAGTTTCACTGTATTTTGGTGTATGGTTAAATACATCGCTGCTGCACGAGAGGACTCTACATCTTAGCAGCAAGAGGGAATCTCAGCAGCTGAGCAAACTGCCGGGTCCTGCAGTGCGAGCAGCTCCAGCACGCGGCTCTGCTCCTGCTGCACAGCACAGCACATCCAGCACTGGGACGGCAGCTCCGTACAGCACCCAGAGCTGCACAGCATCAAACAGGGACTGCAGCCCGCAGCCCAGAGCTGTGCTGTCACACTGCTGCTCTCCCATCCGTCTGGGCACTGCTGCCATGGGCTTTGGCAGTGAGCTCAGGTGGTTCCACCATGCAGAATCTGCTCCGTCTGAGCGTGGCAGCGCATGGCATGGGTTCACCGTGCAGGCAGGATCAAAGCTTCCCCCATCACGGCCTTTCTCTGGCTCCTGCCTTTTCTAAAGCATCCAAACCATTTCTTCTCTCCGCTCCGTTAAAATCAATCAATCTGACGTTTCAATTGTACGTGGGTTTGATAAATAAAGACATGTTACCAAATGCTGCACCAAATGATTTTTTTTTCTTTCTTTTAACCTTTTTGTGAACTACTTAGGACAAAAAATGTTACAATGCTTGACTTCTCATTTAGTTACATAAATAATTTTTTTTATAAATATCTCTTTATAAACAATATATAAATAGCTTTACAACATAAATACATTTATGCATGACATGAATTTACAAACAGCAACGTTATACAGCCGGCTTCATCAGTCTCTCAGAAAAGCACTGTCCCTTGTCTCGGTGAGTGTTTGTATATATAATATATATAAGATAGAGAGCGCTTTTTAAAAAAATAACAGAACCCAAACAGCTGGTGCCATGACTCCTCGTACCGAAAAGAAAAACACAGCCACATCTTTTGTCCGATCCGGGGAGGTCTCTGCTCTTCCGGGCGGTGCTTGGGGGGCGGCCATGCCCGGCCCTGGGGGGAACAACGGAGCCGCTCCGGCGCTCTGCGTGGAACGAAGGAGAGCCGTGAGCGGCCGCCCTGCAGTGCCCCGCTGCGGCCCGAGATGCGTCCCCAGCGGGATGTCCTGGGTTGGGGTGCGGGTACGAGCTCGGGCGCTGTGCCGGTGCAACAGCAAGGGGAAATCTCTCGCCCTCCGCTTTCCGGGTCTGGGTGCCAGTAGATGGGCTGAGGGATGCTGACTGCTTGTCCCGGGTCTAGCCAAGGACGGGGAGGGCCGCCGGGGGCTTGCAGCCTTCTCGTCCTGCCCGACGCTGCCCGCCGCGCTAAAGCTTTATAGGCAGGGGGGGATCCGGGAGCAGAATCCGAACGGAGTTGGGATTCGGGGGAACTTCCACCCCCAACCCAGGCCGAAGGTTTCTGCTCCTCGCACCCGGTATGGACACGGGCTGAGAAAACGCCCCGAGCTGAGCCGGGCGCGCTGGGAGAAAGTTCTCATCAGCACTTAACGAGAGAGGGCGATGCCCCCCGGGGATGCCGAGGGCCCGGCGCCGGCACCCACGGGACGCAGAGCCGCGCACCCGGGTCCGGGCCGCGCTACAGGCGGGGGCAGAGCCCGGACCGGGGCAGAGCGGCGGCAACCTCGGTCCCCTACGGCGCGGAGGAGCCGCCCCGTCCGACGCTCCCCGGGCCGTTGGGCTCAGAGGATCTCCCGACGGCTCAGCGCACGGCCGGCCTCAGCGAGCGGAGCTCCACGGGAACCACCGGCCGCGCGGTGCACGCACCCCACGCCCGCCCCCTCCACGCGGACGGACGCTGCCCTCCCAGCGCTCCCCCGGGGCAGCTCCGCGCCCGGCACCGCCCCGCGCCCAGCACCGCCCTCGGGCCGCGCCGCGCCGCGCACTCACCGCCAGAGGTCCCTCAGCAGCCGAGGCCGCTCATGGCGCCGATGCGGTCCAGCTTGAGGCCGAAGCAGCCCTTCCCGAGCCCCTTCTTGTGCAGCCCCTTATGGCGGCGGCCCGACGGTTCCTGCAGCAGCCGCGCCCAACCCGCCCGGGGCCGCGTTTCTGCCCGTGCCTCCCGCGCCTCCCGCGGCCCCGTGCCGCCGCCTCCGCCGCCTCCTCCGCGGTTCCGCTCCTTCTCCTTCTCCTTGTCCCGCTCCGCGCCCGCCGCCTCGGGCGGACCCGCCGCCGCCGCCGCCGCTGCCGCTGCCGCTGCCGCTGCTCCGCGGGACGCCTGCGGAGAGACGGGCGGTCATTGCGGGGCGGTCCGCGCGTCCCGGGCTCCGTGCGTCCCCACTCCGCGGAGGAGCATCCCCCCGCCGCCCCGTCCCCGCGCGGCACCCGCTGGGTCACTGCGCCCCGGAGTGGGGCTGGGACGGAGCTCCCCCAGACTGCCGTCAGGGCACCCCCAAACTGGGATCGGAACACCCCCAAACTGGGGTCACTGCACCCCTAAATTGAGATGCCGTGCCTCCCCCGCCTCCCGCCAGCCCTCAGCCCCTTCGGATTTGGGATGGTCCCGCTCCCCAGCTGCAGAGTCACTGCCACTCTGTGCTGATGCCGCTGTCCCTCCACTCTGCAATGTGGGGAACAACCGGGACCCCCATTTTCCCAGGTCTGCTGCTCACAACTAGTTAACGCGCTCTGGGCACTCCCAGTTCTGCCTCCTCCTCACTGCCCCCGCTGTCCCGTTTGGGACTGCCGCTCACCCCCTCTCTCTCCATCACAGCTCCCCAGCTCCCCATGCTGACACTACCCCCCATCCCCCCGCTGTCCCACTCCGGCTCCGTGTGCCGTATCTCCGGCACAGGTGTCGGTGGCCTCCAGGACATCCCTTCTCCATCCCCGAGGGACACCATGGATGCCCCCCTCAGGTTTCGAACTCACACCTACACCCGGGTCTGACTCCTGCACCGTAGGGTGACGTGGAGACAGCTGTGTCCCCGCTGGCTGTGGTCCCGCAGGGTGAGGGCACGCAGCATCCCCTCCAACCACAGTTCTCCCCGACACGTGGGTCGGTGGTCTCCTACCACCCAAAAAACCCCATGGGAAGGAGGGCCCCGCAGTGCCACCCCCTCGCCCTAAGGACTCTTTGGGACGCAGCAACGGGGCAGAGGCAGCCCTACCTTCTGCGGGAGCTGGGATGCCGGCTTCGCCTCCAGCCCGACGGAGAGCAGAGCGAGCAGCAGTCCTCCGGCCAGCACGGGTGAGATCTGCATCCTGCGGTGCAGCCGGAATGGGGCCGGGGGGCAGCGGGGAGCCCCGGGAAGAGGCCGGGACGGAGGGAGTCAAAGTTCAGCGCGGAGCCGCGAGGTCCCTCCTGCCGCCCGCGCAGTGCCGAGCCACTGAACTTGGGCTTTCTGCTTCATTCATTTTATAACCCAACCTGCTCGGTGATGTCATCTAAACAACCAGGTCCAGCCCGGCCTCCCACTGCACAATAGCAGGAATTTAAAGGGGGGGTCCCCTCTCCCCTGGCAGGAACAAATGACACATCAGCCCAAGGCAATGGGCTCACGGAGTTGCAGAGTCAAAGAGGAAAGTGAGGGGCATTTGGCTGAGCTCCCCCAGCCCCCCCCAGGGTGGCTGTTGCCCCATATCCCCCCATCCCACAACCCCTCTGCTGCCCCCCCATCCATGCTGATCCCCAGGAGGGGCACGGGACGGCTGCTGCACTCTGTGGGGGGGGGATCCTGGAGGGGGATTAAGTCCCAAAAGCAGAAATTAATGCAAAAAGCACTTTTTTTTTTTTTTTTTTTTACCCCCTCCGTCCAGGCTTAAAAATCAGAATGAAACTTCCAGAACCCTGTTTACCAGGGGAGGGGGACACTGCCCTGCATGGCAGTGACATGGGGACACATGGGGACACATGGGGACAGGTGACAGTGGCACTGCTGGTGGCATGCAGGTGGATGCTGTAGCTCAGAGCGGGGACCTGGTCCTGCTTCTTGTCCCTGCCCTCCCACTGGGGGTCGGGATGCTGCCCTCACCCTGGGGCATATCACAGCTGCTGGTGGCTTCTTCTGCAGGGCATGTCAGTGTCACCCGGCCCCTGCAGGGACAACCCTGGTGCAGCGTGGCTGTGATCGCTCCCACCTGCCGCTGGGGCTGTGATGGAGGATGAGCCCTGGATGCTGGTGGCAGCTCAGGGCATGCAGCCGACGGCAGGATTTAAGATTTGTGGCACCACTACTGCTGCCATGCACGGGACTGGAGCAGCACCAACCCCATCCCTGGCACCCCAAAGCACAGGATGCTCTTAGTGCTACGGTGCCCCAAATCCTATCCACAGGACCAGAGAAGAGCTCCAGGCTCTCCTCAGGTTGGTGCTTTCCCCATTCTCTGGGGCTCCCTGGTGCTCTGCTCTGCCTCCAGCAGGATTGGGACTCTTTGGGGGGCTGTGGTTTCCCCCCCTGCAGCTGCACTGCTGGGCACGGGCCACCTCGCAGGGAACCATCCTTTCAGCTCCATGCGGCCGGGAGCTGGAAAGAGAAGGTCTCGGTGGTTTTTCCATTGCGCCTGCCAGGTGGAGACAACTTGGGCTTTTTGGAGAGCAAAGTTGCACTCGGGCACTCGTCTGCATGCAGGCAGATAAAGGCGATGGAGGCAGCCGGCCCCGCATACCAGGTGACCACACGCAAAGGCGTGGGGCACACAAGGCTCTTCTGTGCTTTCTGGGGCTTGGCACACAGCCCCATGGGGAAGGAGCCCCCCTGGGGCTGAGAAGATGCAGCCTTACGCCAGAGCATCCTGCACATGGCACGGCACGGCTGGATCTCACTGCTGTGCTCTGCTGGGTTTCTGTGAGCATGTTTGCTTTGTCCCGATGCTTGCAGACTCAGTTTTGGGGGCTGTGCTTTTAAAATCCAATTAGTGCTGTTATTCAAATCACCCTGCCCTTAACCAAAACCAGACCACATCCACCCGTGCTGTTTCACAGCAGCAAAAAGCTCTTGGGCGGGAGGGCGGGGGGCAGAAGGGATGGAGAAGGGGTTAAAAGCAACGAAACCTTTTTGCTTTGTGGGATGGGGGCTTGGAAGCCTTTAACCCTTGGAGGGATGTGCTGTATGACCCCATGGCTGAGATCTGGCAGAATTCAGGGCATGGGTGGATGATCTCCCCCCCAAAGCATAGGGGATGGCACTGTGCAGGTGGATGTGTCACCGTGTCACCATGCATGGCGACAGCACGGCTGTTCCTGTAGAAGTGCTGCCTGATCATGCAGGTGATTCCTGGGGGTCCTGAGTCCTTTAAGACCCTCTGGATCTCAGCAGAACTAGGGAGCCGGGTTTTGGGAACATCCTGCATCTCAGTGCTGATCTGGGGCTCGCTGCCCCGATTTGGGTTTCTGTGGCTGCCATGGGCCAAGGGAGCAGCTCCCAGTGGAGGGAAGTACCACTGCAGCATGAGGATGATGCTGTGCTCCTTGCATGAGAAATCTGTGTCCACAACAGAGCAGACAATTACCCTCTGGCAGTCCCAAATAGCATTGCCCCAGAGCGAGCCGCAGGCTGGTGTCTGCCAAGGGACCTCTATGGGGGCTTTGATGTGACACAACAGCAAGTTTCATCAATTCACCTTGTTTTACAAGATTTCGGCTCTGGCCCTAGAGCAGAATAGGCAGCCCTGGTGACACAAGGTGCAGCCGACCCGTCTGGCTCCATGCAACATGTCCCAGGGGAGGCTGCACGGCCACGTTTGGGGGAAACACCACCCCAAGGGGGTTGGGTGCTCAGAGATTCCTATCGCAGGACTGTGGGCACCTCCTCGCCCACTGGCCCGGATTCTCCATGCCTGAAGTGCTGATGGCAGCCCTCATCCTGTTTGAACATCCCCGGTGTTTATTTTGGATGGTTCTGCTGAATGAGGTATTACAGGAAACGCTAAGTGGTTTTACATTTCCCCTGTCTCCTTTGGGTCTAGGAGAGGGCTTAGGTCCAGGACACACACGTGTCCAACAGCCTCTCGTCCCCATCTGGGATTGGGATGAGCATCGGTTCTGATGAATGGGATGGGGACACACTGACTGCCAGCAAAGGATCCGAGGGAACATTCCAGTCTCCTCCCCAGCACCCTGGGCAGCAAGAGCATGGGGACAAAGGAAAACCCCAGGCAGAGAATACTGGTTCTTTGCTGGTGTTGGAGGCAGAGCCCAACACCATTTGGATTTGCCATGTCAAGGTACCTGGGATGCTCCAGCATCCTCCAGACTTCCTGGGCGTTTCTTTCCCAAGGACATGGCAGTGCTCCAGGGCTGGAGTGGGAACTTCTCAGACTTCTGTTTAATATATATATATAAAAAAAAAAAATAATTACAAGTTAGGCAATTAGGATGTGCTGAGAGCATACGCCATGAGTCTCCTAATGTGTCAGCTGTGGAGGATGTGAATTACATCGCCTCCAGCTGCCGGCAATGAACATAGGAGCAGGTTGTTGGGATTTTCCAACCTACATGCCACGTTATTCTTTGTCTTCCCTTTCCCAGATGCTGCTCTAAAAAAAAAGGGGGGAGGGGGACAGTTCTGGGAATATTTCATCTGCAGTAAAGCCCCAGCATCAGCCCCATACTGGTGGTTTTGGTGCTGAGCATTGCTTTGAGAATATCTGCAATGCTTTGAGCACTGCTTTGGCTCTTGGCCAAAGGATGGTGGCTTGGAATGGCTGTCACCACCACGCTTGTCCCAGAGAGTAGGAATGAGGCCACAGGGAACTGAGCCTCATCCAGAGACCATCCAAAGACCACGGTGGGGACAGACACCCAGCCCAGTCCCAATGTCCCCTTGGTACCACCCAATGTCCCCAGGGACATGTCAGTACCATGTCCTGATTGGTTGTGGATTGGACACCTCCTGGCTCAGACGAAGCCCTGAAGCTCCAGCTGCTCTGAGATGATTTCTGAGGAACTGCTGGGAAATCCCATTTGGCATCGGCCCACGGGGTAAAACCATGGGCGCACCGAGGGCTGAGATGGACGTGAGGGATGCGCGGAGCCACGTCCCTGCTGCTCTCATGGTTGCAGAGGTGAAAACCTGGGAATGGCTCCTCCTGGGGCCATGGTCTTGCTGGAGCCAAATCTGGGCATTCTGTCCTTATTTTGGCACGAGGCCTGGACATCTCCCATGGGGGGACTGAGGGCAGGAGCCAGTCCAGAGCTGTGGACGTGCGGGGCTTCACAGCCCCGACCTCCTGCAGCCAGGCAGAACAACAATGCAGGCTCGCACGGACATAATGGCCAGGGCTTGCTTGAGATACAAAAGCTCAGGGCTTTCACATGAGGTAATACTGATAAGTTACACTCTCATTCACCACTCTGTCTGCCAGCCGGCAGTAGAGCTGCCCTTCCCTGCTCGCCTTCGCTGGGACGTGCCCGGCCGCCGTGCTCTGCTGCTGCCTGATGGGAATGGGGCCGTGTCCTGCCCACACCCCAGCGCACCGGAACCCTGGGATTTATCACTCATAATTTCTCCGAGCATCCCTTCGAGGCTTCACCTTGCCTCTGGAATGGGTTCAGCCATCAGCAAGCGAAGAGGATGCTGAGGATGGAATTGGAAGGCATCCAAGAGGCAAAGCTTGAAGACCCCGACCCTGCTGCTTCACCCAACACATGGCTCTGGCTTTCCTCGATGTCCCCTTCAGCTCTTTCTCAGCTCTTGCCCTCTGGGGTCTGGGTATCCCTGGACAAACAGCCACTCTCCCCGGCCTCGGGGGAGCAGGAGACATTCCTGCATGTGCTGCTTTGTCTGAAGGAGACGGGAACCCACCCGTCCTGATCTTTGGTGATGTGTTTCCCAAGCAGAGGGCCAGAAGACTGGAGAAGCTGAAAGACAGGTGGGGCAAGACCATGATGGTTGTGACACAGTGAGCAGATGAGTATCTATTGAGGAGAGAGATGGCTTTTAGCTTATTTCTGGCTACACATCGTCTATCTTCTATCTCTCCCTGAGCCCTCCAGCTTGTGCCCTCAGGCATAGTGCCCATGCTGTAGCAATGGCAAATGATCATAGAATCAGAGAATTGTTATGGCTGGACAAGACCTCAAAGATCACTTAGTCCAAGTAATGATGAGACTCTGGCCAAACTTTTCAGGTGCTGCTGCTATTGAGATATTTCCAAAAGAGCTCCGAGACCACAAACCCACAGCCCCACTTTGCTCAGGTGAGATTTGGGAAGCAGAACTGCTTGACTTTCACCCAGGGTTCCCTCCATGCATCACTCCGGGGCGGTCCTGTCCCCGTGGCCAGTCACCCCTGAGTAACACTGATGTAAATGAGCACAGGGTGGGCCTTTGCTCTAACAGCAGAGGAGCCAAAGCCTTTGTAAGATGATGAGCCACACGGTTTGCTCCTTGGCTGAGGTGCCGCAACACGTTGGTACAGCCACCAGTGAGTGCCCGGGGGGGAAGATGGTGAGATAATGGTGTGCTGTGGAAAAGCAAGCCAGGACACCGGGCTGGGCCTGCTGCTACAGGACCCCAGGGAATGAGAGTGCAGGAGAAAAATCTGCCCTTTGAGAAAGGCTGGGAGGCACCGCGGAGGGCTGTGAGGTGAGCGCTCGTCTCTGATTGACAGCTGTAAGGGCAGCAGAGAGAGAGGAGTGAGGCCTTTCTCTGTCAAGGGAACAC